AAGCACCATGGGGTTGTTCCGCTGTCCCTCACTCACCCCAGACTGGGCTGGGAAGGAGGAGCCTGGTGCTGCAAGCTGTGGACCCCAGAACCCAGTGATTCTCGCTTCTTCCTTGGCCCCAGGCCTCTCTCACAGCGTCTTCCTAATTAGGGCTGTTCAAGGGGAAGCCGGCTATTTCCCTCGGAATTTTCTGGCAGGTTTTTTGATACAAGTTTGCATCAGAAAGTTGTGTGAATCTGTCAGAAGGTCTGAGGGAGCCACCCTGTGGTACTACAGGCCCCCTCTGGACCAGCACAGACAAGAAGCCAGAAAACCCCGTCCCTCAACTTCCAGCAGAGCCAAGTTTGGTTGGAATCTCTCTTCCTGTAGGGTTTCCATGGATGTTTCCTCTGCTACAGACAGATCAATTATAAACAGAATCTTTTGCCCCTCAAGTGCAAAGCAAGCCCTAGAAGATTCCAGGAAAAGTGTAGGAAAACACAGACTCCACTGGCTTGGCATTGAATGAGGGGCTACTTAGGGTCTGGTTTAACTCATCATGGATCATTTCCTAGCACCCTCGGCATGGGCTCAACTGGCCCCGAAAATCTAAGTTTGTCCAGCATCTCTTCAAGATCTTCCCCAAAGTAACCATGAGCACTAGTGAGGGTGAAAGTGTAGGCCTGCTGCAGGGGAGAAATGCCTTTGAAGTCTTGATTTATCTTTGTGTTTAAGAGTTTTAGACTCCTTTATACCTTATAATATCTCCATACTTTAATATAAAAATTCAAAATTTAATATTCCCAAAAACCCTTTGTGAAAAATTGATACTGGGTAAGGACTTTGTGCCCTGAGCCTCTTGCGTGTGAGGGCTGGGTACACAGCTATGTGCTTCACAAGCTGCAGTCCCGAGTTTGCTTTGGGGGCCAACATAAAAAGCCTTCATTATGTTTCAGGGCTGGCAGAGTTCTGAGAATGCCTTCCGTCTCTTGGGCAGAGACAAAGACACTGGAGCTTAGAGCCAGGAGATGCCCTGCTCTGGGGCCCCCGCATGAGCAGTAATCAGAACTCCAGGCTCCCCATGCACCACCTCTCCTGTCCAGCCCTTCTAAGTAGGTCCTATGGCCTGGCATATCACAGTTGTTTGGGGGACCATGGCTTGGTAAACTCAGAGCCTAGGCTTTGGGCTGTCTATCAAAAGCCTGAAGGTGACAGTCTCTTTTTCTGAAATGGAGTTCATTTGATCACATAAGAAACATTAGTCTGACGGATCCATCTCTAGACTGTATGGTACCTTGGTGCATGCATGCATGCTAAGTTGCTTCAGTCGTGTCCGACTCTTTGCAGCCCTATGGACTGTAGCCCATCAGGTTTTTCTGTCCATGGGATTCTCTAGGCAAAAATACTAGAGTGGGTTGCCATGCCCTCCTCCAAAGGGTCTTCCCAACCCAGGGATTGAACTTGTGTCTGCCTGCGTTGTCTGCATTGCAGGCAGATTCTTTATCCGCTAAGTCACCTGGAAAGCCCATGGCACTTTGGTGCAAATGAGTAAATAGCACCCTGTCCTCCAGAAGCTTTACTTCCATCTGTCAGAAAATTCAGAAAATCCGATTTTGTTAGAAAAAGACACTCGTCTGCCATCTGCTGGAAAATAGTTGTAATAAATTTCTCGTCTATGATATCTGTGACATGAGTGGTGCCCCCTGATGACTTACATGCAGTGCGCAGTCTGTGCTACTGTACCCAGCACTCCCTGGTCATGAGAGTGGACCATGTTTTAAGAAATTGTCTTTGGGCTTCAGAGAAGAAGGACAAATATCAGTGGCAGCTCCAGCCTTCCATCTAAGAAACTGCGCACAGGTTGTATTGGGAACAGGGCTCTGGAGACCCTGCTGCACTGAAATAGGGTGGAGAGTTTTCAAGGCTGTTTCTAGGAGAAGCTTTACAGTTACTGCCAGTGGGTGCAGAGTTTTCAAGACTAATGCTGACTGCACTCCACTTGAGAAAAAATAATTCCTATAGGATATGACGCCGTCACTTTGTCGGTAACAAGTACGGCACACATAAACTTGAACTCAGAAGAGCCCCCTCTGAGAGTCCGTGCAGGCACTCTAAATCCTTGCTGGTGCACACTCTGCATCAAATCCGCATGCCAGCATAACGCAGCCGTGAGGAAGCGAGCCAACTTTTTGTCCCCCCCTTAGAGGTGAACAAGACAAGTCTGTACAGCAGGACTGGACACAGTGATGCTCTTTCCATCTGGAACCCTGTCAGCTGCCCCGCTGCCACCCTGCCCACGAGTGTCAATCCATTCATAAATCAGACAAAAGTATGGAATTCTGTATCAGTTAACTCTTGCTGTGTAACAAACCGAAGTTTAGGAGCTAAAAAAACAACCACCATCTACATTGCTCACAATCCTGTGAGTTACACCGAGCTTGACAAGGCGGTCCTCCCGTCTTTGTGGGGCTCACACCCCCCAGCTGCAGGCAGCTGTCTGGTTCAGGAGGGCATCAGCTGAGTGGATTCGTCTTTCAGCAGCAAGACTGAACTCGTTCACACAGAAGCCAGGCAGGGGTCTGAGAAAGCAAACGGGAGTGTGCATGGCTTAAGTGTGGAACTGACAGGGCATCACCTCCCTTGCATTCAACCATCAAAACAAGTCACAGTGCAGATTTGGGGAGCGAAAAATAGCCTCAGTCTCCTGATAGTGCTTGTTGCAGAGCCACGGTACAGGGCATTTTTGCATTTATCATTGGTGCTAAGCAGAAGTGAGATGCTAAGCTCTGGAGATAAAAAGCACAAATCCTTAGGAATCCTAAATGTGAAAGATAATAAGAGAGCAGAAGATAGCTAAAGCTCTGCTTGATTGGTGCCACTGTGGAGATATGTTACATCTTTGGAGTTAATGTGAGTAACCTAAGATCACTGAAACATCATGCTATCTGCAGGCAGAATCCTGTGCTAAAAAATCTTATTCTCATGTAACATCCAGCTTGCTTTCTACCATTATGTTCTCCTCAGTTCAGAAGGTGTACATGACACACTTGCTCTGTTAACCACATACCTTTCAAGAATGAGATATCAAGCAGTAACTTCTTGAGAGACATTTCTACAAAGTCTTTGGTTGTTTTGCTGGCCTCCTATGGCTATGCTTAGAGGATGGCAACAACGATCTTTTTCTGATTCTCCAGAACATTCAAGCCAAGACTCCTTTCTACATTCCCCTGTAGAAGGAAGAAGGTGGTAGAGATTTGAGGAGAGAAAAGTATATGTGTGGGGGTGTCAGGAAGTGGGGTTCTGACAGATGTGGTCTGATGCTGAGAAGATAAGGGAACTCAATGTCTGTCTGAAGAATGGACCTTGAGGACCAAAACTCAGAACACAAGACCCTTGCCAGCTGTTCTGTGGAAGCTTCCACTCCCCCCAGTCATCAGTCTGCACTACTTTGCCGGCTGCTCTCAAAGGGAGCTCTCAGGACTTCTTTGGCCATGTGGGTGGAGGTGACCAGTGCTGTCTTGGCAGCTGTCTTAACAGTCTTCATCTTCAGCTGGGCCATAAGCCTCTTTCAATGAGTAGGAGGAAGATGCAGTGAGTCAGTGGATGCTGGGTTCACAGTGAAAAAGTGTGACGACAGATGCACAAAGGAGTTAAATGTGCTCGCGAGTGTGGGTTTGCTTAACAGTTTGTTTAAGGCAAGTCTGGTGTGTACATCCCCCATTGGCAGCAGACTGCAGAGGTTACTAGTCTCAAAGGTCTTCAAATATGACTGTGAGAATTATATGCCAGTGACAGTGTGGTAGCAAAAACCTGCAGTGCAACCTCCCAGCAGTGAGCCAAGAGTGCATGTCTGTTTCATTTCCCCTACTCAAGGAGATCAAAATGAGGATTTGGGGGCAATTATTTATTTGGAAGACAATCTCAGGGAGCACAAATGGCGGGCCAGGAGAGGGAGAGGGCAGAGAAGGAAGCTAATAAAGGATGTTATCAAGCTGGTTACCACTGCAGGCAACTTCCATGGAGCACATACCTCAGCGTTTCACACCCAAGGAGAGAGGGAGCTGGGGTATTTGTACACCCACTCCCATCAGTCATGTTTAAAGGCAGATACAGGAGGATGTCTGACCTCAGAAACAGAGGCCATGAACACTGGGGAGCACAGAACAAGAGATGCCAGGTGTTTCTGAGCGTGGGGAAAAGGTCAGCTTTGGACTACAGAAGGTCACTGTTCTGTGGCAATAGTGCCTACACTGTCTGTGCAAGTGGAAATCCATCTTGCCATATGTGAAAAGCCATGAACATTGGAAGGAAAGGTCTTTTCAGAACTAAGCTAAGGAAACTGCCATCATGGTTCAGGAGGAGTTGCCGGTTCTAGGGAGATACACACTGCCAGCTGTGTGCACAGCAGCCCACTAGGGTCACAGATTTGAGAGAAGGATCTAGAGGACAGCAAGGTAGGATGCAGACCTGAACACACTTTTAAATGCCTACTGTATGAGAGCAGTATTTATCGAATTGTTCCACAATGGCTAGTGTCTCACAGGATAATAACAGATTTATCAAAAGTTAAATAAGCTTGAGAAATACCAAGTCCCTGACTGCTGTCTCAATCCTTTCCTAAAAGGGTTAATTTGATCCTCTGCTGTTCTCCTGTACATTACAAATCTCTTAAAGAATACATCGTCTCCAAATTTATTTGACCACAGAACCTCTTTACTCCCAAACAACCAATGAATAGCTCAATAACTAGTGTTCCCCAGAACAGAGTTTGGGAAACACTCCACCAGAAGTGCATTGCAAGGAACAAACAGCTTATCCTAAGAAAGCCTTCAGGGAGTCCATGCATTTTGAAGAGTGGCTCCATGTAACATTTCTTCTAAATCAGCCTAGTCTGAGGAGTTTCCCAGGCCTTCCCAGCACTGTAAGTAGATCATGCCTCCTCCCGGGCCAGGCAGCTTTGGAACCAAAACAGTTGATTCTCCAGCATCTCTAACCCAGCCTCTCCTCTTTCTGCCTTTCAGATGGGCTTCTTTCGCAGAAGGTACAAAGAAATTATTGAAGCGGAGAAGAACCGGAAAGAGAATGAAGACAGTTGGGACTGGGTCCAGAAAAACCAGTGACCCGCTACCCCACCCCGCGACGTGGCCCAGTCGTTCGCCTGTCGTCCCGATCTTCGTATCTTCCATATTTGGAAGAAAGAATCTTCTCCAGATTTTTCGGAGGCCCCACGATGCTGTTCTTGTCCTCATTCTCTCAAGCCCAGGTGGCACCCTGCGGCAGCCACTTTGGCCAGGTCGCCTGACTGGAACCACCACCACCTCCTTTTCCAGTTGAACTGCGAACTTTGGAAAGCTGGCTACAGAGCTGGGGGATATTTATGGATGCAACAAGTGTGGTCAACCCTCAGGGGAAAACTGTTAACCTAAAAGTATTTTTATAAATACAAGCCTTTTATACTGATTATGTCTTTATATTTGTATCGATGTTTTATTATTTCTATTAAATGATTATATAGTTCACTCAAGCACTGATATCTGGCCTGAAATCTTGGAAATACATGTACATTCATACAAATGTTAAAGGAAAAAGATCTTATTGTACTTTGGAATGGAACTTGCTGTTAAAAAAAAGGACTTGCAGATGAAATCATCTGAAGAAACCTCGTGTGATGAATCCATCAAGAAGGTGGTGCTATATATCAACTACAGTTGGGGTTGACCGCGAAGACGTTTCACGTCTTTGTTGCCTGGAGTCAAGTGTGAAGTAATGCGCTAAAGAACCAAGAGTGTTTTTTCATCTGTACCTTTCATTGGAAGAGTCCCAACAGGAATTTGGATGGAAAAACCTGATTCCTGAGGCCTGTTCTCCATCACCTTATAGAGCAGGCATTTCACCCTCCTTTCACTTGGATTAAGACATGAAAGATTGGAGCAATGCCAGTTGGTTATCTGGTAAACCTCAGAATGGCATCTCATCCTGGACAAAGTGCATCAGAGTCCACATGCCACCAGGACTAAATCAGTGGCCGTCAAGCAGAGACTTGTGTCTGAATGCTGTGATGTGTTGCCTTTTCATGGAAATTTGAGTCAGAGGTCTCCATCGTCCCCAGCACGCTTGCTGTCCCAGCTAATGGTAATTGCAGAATCCTTCCCGGAGGTGACCATTCAACCTGTCTTTCTTTAAAAATTGTATCTTAGGTGGGATTCTTGAGAAGTGGACCCTGAGACAAGGATTTTCACACGGTAACTTAGGAAGGAAGTTTCCCCAGGGCACGCCAGTAAAGACATGAGGGAAGCAGGACAGGAGAGGGGAGGAAGCCACGTAAGGAGGTCATTTCAGGGCATATCCTGTGCAGGGGGGCTTCAGCCTAACCCTGCAGCAGGGGCTCTGGAGGTAACTTATGCCTCAGAGTTGTACCAGCCCGCAGCAAGGGAGCTGAGCTTTCAGAGTCTTGCACCCAGGGGAGATGTAAACATTTTTTCACTTCATGCTGACAAAAGAGCCCCCATAGCTCAGGAACAGTCCTCAAAAAGAGAGCCGCACCCCACCCTGGGAGGCACACAGAAATGATGTAGGGCTGTGGGCATAGCACTGATGTCATCACCTGTCCCCTGCAGGTCTGAAGGCCGAGTTACGGCCTTCACTGTGCAAGCTCTCTGTCTGACAGTGTTTATTACCAGAGGCACAGTGCTGTCCAGGTTTGAGTGTGGTGTGAGTCTCTGAAAGGGCAAGGAGAGGGTGGAGGTAGCATCTTGAGCACTGCACCTGGCCTGTGGTGAACACTCAGTAACGGTGAGCAGCCCTGGCTGCTGTTGCCACTGCTGGAAAACCAGCTGGTATGAAGCAAAAGATGTCTAAGAACAGGGCCTGACAGAGTCCTCAGTGACTTATCACAGCCTGCTCAAGCCGCGGGTACAAACAGATGGCATCAGATGCGAATGAAACAAGAAACAAGACCAGGCATCTCTGTCCTAGGGCCTTGTTGACTGGAGGCTAACATGTTAGGGGCCTGTGAGTGTTGTTGAAAAGACACAGAATTCAACTGCAGGGGAGACAGGTTTTCCTATACACATACTTGGCCAGTCCCTGCAAAGATACCTAAAGTTTTGGCAAAATGAGAGTGCTGGGCGGTTGTGAACCTGGCATGCAGCATGCATGTGTTTGTTTTTTATGCACTTGACTCTGATACAGGAAGATACAGAATGCATCATGCTTCCCTTCCCAGTGACCATGGGAGTAGACAGAAGCCAGAGGGCCAAAGGCATGGACTAGGCTGGTCTTAGAAGGAAGCTAAAGATACAGCCTCTCACTGAGGGGTGGAGGCCCTGAGGTAACAAGAGGCAGATGCAGGCAAAGAAACCAGTTCTCACTGAGAGTTCACCTAGGACAGATGTGTGTGGACCCCAGCTGTGCCTGAGGCACCGTGCTGAGTGCTGGTGGCTCCCCTGGGAATACCATCGCACACTTTGCCCCGGGGGAGACAGATCTGCCCACAGTAGAGTACAGAGCATGGAGTCCTTTACAAAACCGCATTTGCAGCTCTCCTTGGACAGACTCTTGCTTGTTTCATGGTGTCCTTTAATAAATCATTTAGGACTTCCCTGGTGGTTCAGCTGGTAAAGAATCTGCCAGCAATGCAGGAGACCCCGGTTCAATTCCTGGTTCGGGAAGATCCACTGGAGAAGGGATAGGCTACCCACTCCAGCATTCTTGGGCTTTCCTGGTAGTTCAGCAGGTAAAAAATCTGCCTACAATGTGGGAGACCTGGGTTTGATCCCTGGGTTGGGAAGATCTCCTGGAGAAGGAAACGGCTACCCCTCCAGTATTCTGGCCTGGAGAATTCCATGGACTATATAGTCCGTGGAGTCGCAAAGAGTCAGATATGACTGAACAACTTTCACTTTCACCTTTTGGAATTCTTAGGTGGTAGACCTGGGACAACTCCATCCGCAACTTTGACTAAATTCATTAGTGGGCACTCACCAGCCTCCTGCAAGGGGTGCAGACGCATTGGTGAGAGTGTAACAGGATAACTGGCAGGCCCGCAGTTCTGCAGCCTCAGTGGGGGAAGGGCAGACTCCATAACCAGTGTCAGAGCTAGGATCCATGTGCTTCTGAGTGGTAGGCACTCAGGCATGAGCACATACCCCGGAAGTTACTAAGACTAAATAGGGCAGTTTTTAAGAAAATCATGCTTGGCATATGCTGGAGGAAATGCTGGCAGCCAGTCTGGGACAGGGGGTACCTCTACTTATCTCCTGATGCTGAGTAACAGGCGGGCTGCAGGGAGTGGAGAGTTGACCAGTTAGAGCAGACATAGAGAGGGAAGTCGAGCAGGTCAGCAGCACTCTAGGCTTGGCCAGTTCACCAGCTCCATCCAGTTCATAAGCTATCAGTAGGCTCTTGAGAGAAGCAGACAGAATGGGTTGGTGTGTCTTTGTTCCTTCTCCAGAAGGTTCTTTTAAGATTCCACAGCGCCTTCCAATTTCTATCTTTCCTGCCTCTGTGGGTTCACTGTGGAATGCTATCTGATATTCTCTTGCACAGCATTTTCAGCTTCAGCTTTTGACTGTGTATTCACAGTCATCAGCTCTCACAAGGATTGAGATGCTTTTTAAATATGAAAAAAAGGACCTTTGTAGAAATTGAGAGAATGCCTCCTTGTCAAGAATGATTCACTTATGCTCAGTTTACATGGACTAGGGAGTTTGGAACACCCCCTAAGTGAGCCCTGAACCCATCACAAAGTGGCCATGAGGTTCAGGAATGAAGGCTCACTGGCAGGAGCGAATGGGTCCAGTGGTTTTTACGGTGACTGACAGGCATGTGTCCAGAATCACTTGCTACCGAGGTCACTGAGGCATTGTCAGTCAATTCTTCAGAAAAATTACATCAGCATCACCAAGCCATCAGCATTCTGAAGTTGGTTAAGCTTTGTAGAAAATCCAGTAGAAAGTTCTCCTTTACCAAGTCATACGTAGCCTTTAGCCCTGGAGTCAGAGGCAAGGAGATTCCAAACAAAAGCAGCAGGCCTCCTAGAAATTTCCGGGATTCGTTTTCATTGTGAACACGTAGCAGATTCCTTAGGTGGTTGAGATGGGTGCTGATACACAGACTGTGGAACCATAGCAAAGTCATTTTTAGAAAGCTTACTCTGCTTTTATTTTTGGATAAGTCATCATGGCAGGGGAGTGCCGTTGTGCATGGGTTACATGTAAACCTACACCTGTTGAAACCTACACCTGATTCAGCTTCCAGAAGTGTAGAGGCAGAATAAAGGATTGGCATTTGGGGGAAATGGCCCTTTAGCAAATTAAAGGCAGAAAACCACTGTCCCTTAGAAGTGTTCCAAGTATGCAGGGTTTTAGTCCATGATTTGTTTCTCCACACCAGAGAATATGTTTTGAAGCAAAGAATGGCTGAAGGGTTAGGATACAGTGGCAGTAGGGTCAAAATGAGTCTTCTAGAATGTCTTCTGATTTTCAGCATGTGAGGGGGATAATGACCAAATATCCTATGTGATGCAATGCTTTATAGCACAATGGTCTAGGGTTCAGCCTGTGTTAAGATTTTTTTTGTTGTTCAAATTCTAGTGTGTGACTGGCAGAGTGAGTTTAAAAGCTTTAAGAGTGCTTAATTGCATGGCAGGCACCCACGCTAGTTCACTTCCAGAACTTGACTGATGCATCCATGTTTCTGTTGAGGAATTTTTGTGGGAGGAATGTTCCTTTTCACAAAGTCACATGTACTCAAGTCTATGCAGTCACTTCTAATTCACTTGCACTGTTTGGGAAATGCAGGTTTACAAAAATACATGTTTGGAATAAAAAAAAATGGCTGCAAATGATTCAGGAGTTCAGTCTGTAATTTCTTTGGCTAATTTCTTTTGCCTTTTTAGGTTGTTGAAGATGGGGTTTCAGTGTCATACAGCATGAGGATTTAAAGAGCCTGTAAAGGTCCATCCAATTAATTGCACGTAAAGAACACACTCTACGTGGTCAAACTGTCCCTGATCTTTGGCCTTCCTCCCATGGTCCTCGCCTTCTCTGTGCATCACCCACCCACCCAGGGCGACACCTGGGACCTTGGCCTTAGGATTTTGTTGCTGTTCAGTCACTCAGTCACGTCTGACTCTTTGTGACCCCATGGATTACAGCATGCTTGGCTTCCCTGTCCTTCACCATTTCCCGGAGTTTGCTCAAACTCGTGTCCATTCAGTTCATGATGCCATCCAACCATCTCGTCCTCTGTCGCCCCCTTCTCCTCCTGCCCTCAACCTTTCCCAGCATCAGGGTCTTTTCCAAGGAGTCAGCTCTTAGGTCTTAGGATGGATGGTCTTAGGATGAATGTGACCAAATTGAATGGGACAGGTTCCTTGTTGTTAGTAGACTGAGTCCTCCTGCATCTACCAGTTAGGAAGCATTTTCCCAGGAGCCTTTTGGTAGCATCCTTACACATTTACAAATATCGTGTTCTCTTAAATTTTTTATCTCCTCCATCTGTCTAGTTACCTTCCTGTTCTTATCTCAAATGGTGTTCATTTGTGTGTTTTTCTCTTTTTTCCCTAGAAGAGGCCAACAAAGATCTATTTTATTGATCTTTTCAAAAATAAGTCTTGATAAATCTTTGGCTATACCAATTAAATCTACTGGGTTTTCCTTTCTATTTCATTAATTACTGCTTTTATACCTACTAAGCAGAAAATGAAGAGGAACTAAAAAGCTTCTTGATGAAAGAAGAGAGTGAAAAAACAGAGGATGAGATGGCTGGATGGCATCACCGACTCGATGGACATGAGTTTGAGTAAACTCCGGGAGCTGGTGATGGACAGGGAGGCTTGGCGCACTGCAATTCATGGGGTCACAAAGAGTCAGACATGACTGAGTGACTAAAAGTAAAACTAAAAAAAAAAAGATTTATTTTATTGCCCCATGGTTAAAATTCATACACACACACACACACACACACACACACACACCACAATATAGAAGAGGGTCTGAAAAGATACATACCAAGGGGTTAAAAATTATTGTCTTTAGGTAGATGGGATTGGCAATGGTTTTGCTTTGCATTTTGTTTTTACTTGTCTGAAATTTCATTTTCTATAGTGGGCATGTAACAATGTAACATATGCAAATTATTTTAAAAATAACGTTACGTCTGAGAGAGTATGAATTGCTAAGCCAAAAGAGATATCAAATTCTAGGTCTGGAAAGAAAGAGATTTGTTTACAGCAAAGATCACTGATGATCCTGACACACTTAGGACAATGGTCTAGTGAGAAAGTCCAACCAAACTTTTTAATTCTGAATGCTTCCTGATTTAACAAGACCTGTCAGATGACTAGTGCTGATTAAATATGCTTCTTTCCTGTTGCCTTAATCCAGGAAAAGGCCTTGACTAACTCAAAGGAATCAAAGATACAATAGTAAGAGGAAGAAAAATGGCCAATTAGTAAACTGTGCCTCCTGTTCAATCAAGAGTTGTTTAATCCACTGGATTACCTCTGGTCCTTAAAGTCTGTCTATTCATCAAGATACTATGCTTAGTAATAGAATTCATGGGAATGCTAAATCAGAGCTCTGTCTGCACTATCAAATCATTGGCAGCTATCCACCAGCAAAGTCCCCTGACCCTGAGGTCATGTCTATTCATTCTATGTAACTTCCAACTAACGTGGATATAACAAAATATCTCCAGCTCTACACTGAAATCTGAGGCTGTGCTGTCTGGGCCTGCTGCCAAAACTCTGCTTCACCTCAAAGTCTAGTCCAGACCATTGTGTACTTTATTTAATATAATTCTCCTATAATTGAAAAAATACTTAAAAATTAAAACAGATCTCAATAGATGTATAAAAACTATGTTCTGAAGTCACAAAATCACCAAATAAATGAATAAGCAGGGGGCATTTTAAAAATAATTTTCAGGAAAACTTTCTTCTAAGAAATAGCAGATTTGGAAAAAAAAATGAAATCCTCTCCAATATGACATCTGTTTGGAACCTACTTTATCAGTTAGAAGAGTATTTGCTCTGTGTAATAGAAAAATCCAAAATAGAAATGGTTTAAACATTGCTGAAAGTATGTTCCTCTCTCACATAAAAGACTGGATGTGGGGCATCAAGTATTGGATGATCAGGATCATCATCAGGCTTCATGGATGATCAGAATACCAGCTTCTATCTTTCTAGGCATGTGGCTTAAAGTTACCTCATGATCCCATATGGCTGCTAGGGTACCAGCCATTGTGTCCACATTCCTAGTCAGCAATAGAGGGGGAGGATAAAATGGCATATGCCCCTTCCCTTTTCGCTAGCCTTCTCAGAAGTCCCATACAACACTGACCAGAAAGTAGTCATATAAATGCATTTACTTGTAAAGGAGGCTGGGGAATGGATCATTAATGGATAAGAGAAGAATACATGTTAACTAAGAGTTGTCGTACCCACTGGTGTAAGACACTCAGAATATAGTTGCCTTAAGCCCCAACATGTTTCCTTCAAATTCTTGAGTCTGACAGAATTTGAGGAAGAGGAATACCTTTATTTATGCAACTCTGGGGTATGCAGAGTTGGTTAATCATATTCATTTTTTATGTCATGTTGCTTTTCTCATTTAGCCCCCGCCATCCCCATTCACATTCTTCTCTCTTCGAGT